TCGACACCTACAACTGACATACCACATAGTTGCACAATTAACTTCCCGAACTTCGAGGGCTAGTATGTCACAGGGTTAGCTACTTTGATTCCTTGCGATCTTGCTACGGCACGAAAAGTGCAAAAATACATAATCGCACCGTCCCGCCTGGTGCGTTCCAGCCTGGGTTAGTGGCAAGCATGAACGCCAGGGTTCCCTAAGCAGCTGGTTTGGAAATCTGGCATCAGTGATTTCACTATAATGCAGCTCGGACCAGCTATGCTAAGCTCTCCCATCCTAACCTACATGCCCACAGCGAGTGCGTGCCACTTTTTCGAAAAGCTGGATTTTTTTAAGCCATCATTCTATTTTGGAAGTATTTTCCGGTTTATCTTTTGGATTTGACCATTTCTGAATTTGAATTTTGAATTTTTGAAATTTCAAACAAACGAAATTGCTGCGTAAATAAGGCCGTTTTCAGTTTCTGCTTAGAAATTCTGCGGCTGTGTTTTCAAAATTAACAAATAAGGAAGCAGTTCCACCACAAATTTTAATTAATAAATTATTTTTAAAAAGAATCCATTTTAAGATGGTTGTAAAATGTGCAAAGCAAATGTTTAAAGTATTTGTTGGAAGATAAAAAAAAAAACATTTGACAAATGCATAAAATGTAACTGAAGCAAATTAAAAGATTGGCGCAGTCTATCTCTACTTGATCATCATGATCGTGGTGCTGAACGGTCTCCTTCCACGCGTATGCCGCCCACTCTTCACACCGTCTGGCTGCGAAACCGTTCATTCGGGCTTTGACGAACCACGGGCTATGGTGCATAATGTGCCACCAGGATTCGAGTCACCATCACCCTCACCATCGCCATCGCCATCGACACCGGCAATGGCAGCAGCACCAATAACAACGCGACCAAATACTATTTAAGGTTTATTGTTTTGTATGAGCTACGTAAATTGTAAAGCGAATAAAGGAATTTCGTTCATTGTTTAGTGTTCGACTAAGAAAGCACCTCAAAAAGACCGGGAGCTTTACTCCTAATAGTTTGGATGGATGGTCTTAACAACCGACGATTGGGTGACCAAGCACGAATTTTTTGTGCAGCCAGTAACGTGCCTGAAAGTAAATGCAGGGATACGTAAGGGCCAGTTTCATTTATATAACCCGCACATTCGCCTAAACTTTCAATCCGGAAGTTCTAAGTGGCGCGCGCACATCTGATCGGCGCATCGATGTCGATCGTTTGGCTTGCCGTTTCAAAACAAACCGTTTTTTAAATGACCTTCATTATCCTCGCTCCCTTCTCCCTCCCTCGCTTCGTCTTCTTACGATGCATTAAGTACTGATCGTTTTGGCGTGGAGGCTTGCAGGGAATATCAGCAAGTCGGTGAAGGAACCAAAGAAAGAGATCCCCAGGAATGTGAAGTGGCAAGCATACAAACAAGGTGGAAATGCGCATTGTCCTTCAGCAGGTATTGCTGGTGAAGTGCAGGTTGGACCTTTTACGGGTTTCTTTAAAGTATTTTTTTTAAGTTTAAGTTGGTTGAACCCTCTCAAAAGTACTCTAAATTGGCTAGCAATAATAGCTAATGAATTCTGAATGTCTGTCATCCTCTACACTACTATCTAGGATAGTTGGAACCATGTAAGTTTCCTGATTCAAGCCCTTTTTGCATATTTTTGAAGCTTACTCGCACCTGAGATTATACTCATGTGCTTTTATAAGCGTCCGCACCACGTTCGAAATAAGAAGCAGGCGCCCCGCTGTAATAATGTTTTCTATCGAAAATTTTAGCTTCCGAACAAACACAAGATAGTATGGACTTTGTCTTGTCATCTCATGGACATAAGTATTATAGTAGAAACTTATAAAAAGGGAACGACTCTTCAAAGTCGGGTTTTTTGCTCTGAAATTTGAATATGTTGTAAGCACAAAAAATCCCTTCAACAGTCACCACTGCCGGCCAAGTATCAAAGGAAATGTGTATTTTCGATCAATATTTAGGATAATACAGAGTTCTTGATGGGAATGATTGCTCAGTGCAGTTGTGTTATCAGTATTCAAAGAGTCAAGAATTCCACAAATTAAAACACAATAGTTGGGCAATTCCTTTGCTTGGGTGGTGCAACAGACGTCTTCAACTGATGTGATAGGTATTTCATAAACATACATGTAATGTTCATTATCTGCTTCTTTCTTTTCTTTGTTTTTGGGAAAAGTCCGCAAAGACCCAACCAACACATTTGATCACTGCCGGGTGCCGCGTTGACTGTAGGGATCAGTAATTCCGTCAGATAAAGCCGTGGATTGTTCCTCAACTGAAGAGTTAGACAAGCTTTTGTCCAGATATCGGAATATTTTGTATGGAACCTCCCGACAGTTAAGATGTAGCCTAGCCAGAGGAAGCAAATGGAAATAGTTAAGTGCCAGAGATTGAAGTGACTTTGGTAATAACAATAGGAAAAGCAACAATTGTCGACTTGGTGGGTCATGATGATGCACAGGTCCATTGGACAACAGTATAGATATCCTACTCACACTTCTGAATGAATTTTCCTACTTCATTTAGGCTTAAATAAAACGGAGTTTCACAATTACTTAAGAAATTGATTTTTTGTAATAATCCTAGATGTGTGAGATTTCTTGCTGATAAGATCTATAACGGGGCCGAAGTTTTTTTTATCTCATTGTCCGGATCACAAGTCCGACAATTGGAAAACTAATGATGCGCTCCATTTTTTCATCCTTTGAAACAGCCTCTCTGTCCAATTCAGCGTGAAAATGCAGGGCCTGCAAATATGCGCTATACCACTAGTCTAAGAGCAAATAACCTTGAGCAAACATAAAGCACCCATAAACTTAAGGACTTTGAACTTATGGCTGTTGGCAATTTTTACTAATATATCTGCACTGCTTATTTTACACTATCTTGCGAGATGGAACAGTGTGCGGAACTATTCAACGATGGCTGCTTTTTCTCACTTTTACCAGCATTTTATAGAAAAAAAAAAACGCACTGAAGCGAAATCACGTTTTTAGTGCATGTATATATCTACGTGTGTTTGCGAATCAATTACGAAAGCTAGGAAGCTGAGAAATGTAGGAGCGTAGTTCTAGGCCATGTAACGATTCAAACGTAAAACTGTCTTGTATTCTAACGTATGCACACATATATCCTTAGGTGGCAGATATGGGACAAAACGGTGGCTTAACAGAAGAACTTGCTCAGAAAAACGTAAGTAGGCAAAAAAAGTGAGCAGAATGCGCTTCTGAAAAAACGTCTATTTTAGCACTTTTACTTTGTTTCATTTTATCAAATTGCCAAGGACAAGACCCCGAAAGTATTCGCTCTTTGTAGGAAGTTGAGGAACTCATGAAATAGAATGGTAGCAAGTACCAGCAATAGCAGCTGTTTAACAAGGCTATCGGTGGCTCTCTCTTTCGATTTTCGCTTACAAGTAGCTGATAATTACCTCCCAGGCATATGCCAATACCGGTTTGCCATCAAAGCGAAAATCACTTATCGCTTAAGTTATTTAAAAATTATAATAAGGTCATGTGAGCCACAACAAAGTAGAAGATTGAAATTAACGTAATTCTACAGCATGACGGGGACGGCGTCCAGTAATAACTGGAGGTAGAATTCCTGTCGAGCACGTTGATTTTGATCTTCCACCTTATTATGGCTCACATGACCCTATTATAATTTTTAATTGACTTGAGAGATCGCTGTCGATCTGTCGGCCAACTTGGTAATTTCGCTGCCACACATAATTCGCTTCAACATATCCGTTTTTTTATGCGTTTTTGCATATATGCAAATTGCAAAAACGCGTATTGGGAAGAGGCTGTCTGTGT